TAGTCCCATTACCAAAAAATTGGAAAATAGAAAACGGTTACCTATAATCTTAGCATTCTAAAATAACTATTGTTATTATCTTGTAATTGTCTTTCTCCCCCGCCATCTTTATTTTTTGTTGATTGTGTCTCCAGAGGAAAGCGACTCCCCTCATGCCTGGCTTTCCCTGTGTGTGAGCAGAGGAGTAAGACCAGAAGGTGTCTGAGGGCTCTTTGAGCTTTGAGAGCGCACGTTTCTAGCCTGAGCTTGTACCTCTGCCATTACAAAAGTTCCGAGGACTTCTTGGGGAAGGGAGGGTCAGAAGCCTCGGGAAAGCTGAGTGAAGCTGCCTGAGCTATAAGCTCCTTGAGAGCAGAGCGGGGCTCATGCTGGTCACCTCTGCCTTGCTGCTGGGCCTGGCACATGGTGACTATTCAGCATGTATTGTTAATGGAGTAAGAAAAGCAACGACAGAAGGTAGCTGTAGTGAAAGTGTGTGTTATGATAGTTCGCATTATTCTTAGAACACGATAATCAATGGAGGGAGTTTTAGAAAGAACAATTGCTAGTATGTCCTTTTTTTTCCTCCTAAGGTTTTAAGAGCTAGACCCCATCTCTACTAACAATAGAAAAATTAGCCAGGTGCAGTGGTGCATGTCTGTAGTCCCAGCTACTCAGGAAGCTGAGGCAGGAGGATCGTTTGAACCCAGGAGTTTGAGGTTGCAGTGAGCTAGGCTGATGCCATGGCACTCTAGCTGGGGTGACAGAGTAAGACTTTGTCTCAAAGAAAGAAAGAAAAAAAAAACTGCAGCTCTAAAAAAGTTGAAACCACTTTTTGTCAAAGCAAAAATGTATGTACTGTTACCTTCTGCCCCCACATTTCCTGAACACTCTGTGCCAGGTGCTGAGAACGCAGAGATGCACGAGTAACAGGCTGTGGCCTCAAGGAGCTCATTCTCTCACCAAGATGCAGACATTTGCGTGGTTAACTCTTCCCGGGCTGTGAGGGCTATAATACTTGGAGACTTGAACTCATTCACCAGAAGTCCCTTGAGGACCCTCTCATTTCCTGGAGCTCTGCTAGGAAACCAGTGTCATAGAGATGACTGAGATGTGGTTCCTGCCCTCAGGGAGCTTACAGAATGTGGGAGGGAGAGGCCTATTCTGTCAAAGACAGGGAGGGCCCTGCAGAAAAGCCATTCTAGGTGGTGAGAATACCAAAAGCTGAAGCCCAGAGCCCCACTGGGCCCAACCTGACTCAGAGCAGCAGAGGGCTAAAACTCTCCTGTAGGTAGGGTGTAGCAGAGGCTGACAATGTGATGGGGGTGAGGTTGGTGAAAGGAGGCCAAAAGGTAGCTTGGGGTCAGTGTATAAAGGTCTCAAATGCACAATTAAGGAGCCTAGACTTTTTGCAAACACTAAAGAGCCATTTAAAGGTGTGATAGCTGGGATTGACCTAGCTATATTTGCAAAAGCTGCAACCATTAGTAGTGAGAGTAGATCAGAGTAGCACAGAGATACAGGCCTGGGAGGACCTGCAGAGATCCCTGCCACACATATAGTGGCAGGGAACTTGTTAGGGAGGCAAGGCCAGAGGAGAGTCTTAGGAGAAGATCACGACTGCTTCTAGCCTCTTAATGTTTTCCTTTTTCAGCGGTTGTCAGAAGGTGAAAATTTCCTCTTTAGGGCAATAGGTACTGTTTAGTGCTCCATCTCCATAGTGGTCAATGCTTTTAACTCTTGAATAAGAAAAGTCACGGAAGCCAAGGCGGTGGGGCTCCAGGCTGGCATCTTCACCTTGAAGGCATTAGACTTTCTTAGATTCGAATCATGAACTCAGGCTCCAGAGCTGTCAGCCTCCAGGGAGCTCTCTCCACTCTGCGAGGAGCCTTTTGGTGAGCCTGTGTACATAATCATGGGCATTTCATTTCACAGATAATTTATACTCAGATTATCTGACCTCCCTTAAAACTTGGGATAATTATTTTCATTATTAACATTTTAGTAATCTCCACATACTTTTTTTAGAACTTATTTTTAGACTTAAAAAAATTTTTTTGTTGTTTTTTATGTAACGGGCTTGGAGATTTGCTGTCAATGAAACCCCTCAACATTTTCCAAAGTGTTACTGGAGATTAACTGAAATCAACATTAGAACAAGGAACGTGTCTTTAACTGATCAACTTATTTTTCTCCTTTGAGAATATTCCTCAACTGGAAAAGTCGATAGATGATAAGAGAAAGGAAACAAGAAATTAATGTGCATTTGGAATGCTAATTATTTTGCTTTTTCACTTACAGGCGAACGATATGTGATGACATTTTTGAATATATTAAATTTTGGCGATCAGGGTAAGGTAAAATTCTGTAGTGTTTTAATTAAAGGTGAATACTATTAATAGATACTTATTAATATTTTTCTCTTTAGTTTGATACATTTAATGAAATAGGAGCCTGAAAATTGTAAAACTAATGAATTCTGAACTTTTTCAATTGTAGGTCTTTGTAAATGTATGCCATGTACTGACTATGCCCTCTAATGTGACTTGGGTAGCAGGTTTTCTTTTGAGACTTCTGCCCTCTACCCTGCCACCTGTGCTCATTTTCTGGCGTAGGAGGGGTGCCAGGAGAGGGGAAAAGGGAGCTCACCATCACAACCACAAGAATCCGCCCCATGTTTCTGTGGTTGGTTGGTCTCTTTCAGTATTTTCATATTTTTTAAAATATAATCCCAAAGTAATGGAAATAAAAATAGAAAAAAATCAACTTTGCATTAACGACTTTTATAAAAAAGTGCTGGTGATAGAAACCTCCTGTATCCTGACTGTATCAGTGTCAATATCCTGATTGTAATAGTATATTAATACTGTAGCTTTGCAGGATCTTACCATTTGGGGAAACTGGATAAAGGGTGTATGGGATCTCTCTATTATATTTCTGTGTGTATCTGTAATTATCTCAAGATAAAGTTTAATTAAAAATATTAAATGAGATAAACAATTTTAATAGTGCTGTGAAAATTAAAATAGAGGAACCAGTATGATTGTTGTTTCTTCCTGCTTGTTTTGTAGGTGTGTATGATATAGTGAATAATCTTGGCTCCCTTGTGGCCAGATTAATTTTCCAGCCAATAGAGGAGAGTTTTTATATATTTTTTGCTAAGGTGCTGGAGAGGGAAAAGCATGCCACACTTCAGAAACAGGTAGTCTTGGTTCTTATGTCATCTCTCAAGTGAATTCTCCCTCTGACTTCAAGACAAATGGACAGGAATGTGGAGGAGCTTATAGGTTTCATTCTTCTCTCTCATTCTGTGTGATGGCAGGATGCAGAGTTCACTCTTCCTTCATGGCCTTCTCCCTTCTCAGCTGTCCTAACTTCTTACCCTTTGTCCTTCTCCACGACCTTCCTCTTGACCCAGCCCTCTACAGCTGTCCCAGTGCAGCGCAGATGCCCTCCCATGGGCCAGTCTTGGGCATAAGAATGAGGTTGCTTCCCCTATCCTCTGATTCTCAATAACTGAAGGATGCAGAAGTTGGAGCAAGGCTAAGCTAGGGCATGGGAGGAAAGAGTGTGGTCATTGGGTTTCACTCATCACACCAATCGTTTAAGCTTCTTGAGAGTGTGACTTGCCCTGAGCTACATACTGACCATGAGAATCCATATTCTCTGGTTGGTAAATACAGAAGAGATTTTGGTTGTAGGAACTTTACTTTTTCTAAAACCACTGAAAATGTTTGACTTAGAATTAAAAGCAAGTTAGTTTGGCCTCTTACATGTCTTATAAGATATTTTGCAAAATATAGTTTATGCATGATATCTCAAAATGAGCTAATGTTGTTCTCAGTCAGATTTAGTAATATTTTCCTGAGTATACATTGACAGTAACATCAGAATTTTGAGTTGTCAGAAGCACAAAGTTGGCTAGCATTTTTGAAAACCTGCTGCCCACTTAAGAATAACTGTCAGAGGGCAAAGTGAGTGTTTCCTAAATAATACTTGAAACAATTTATTCTAAATGAGTTGAAAACTAAACCTCCCCCGTACCACCTAAGGAGATACACACTATCTTTTTCCCTTCATTTGTTAATTGACACAAAAACAAACATAGGCCACAGAAAAACAGTATACTCCTCACCCAGCTGGAAGAGGGAGAAGGCCAGACCAGAAGATTTTCTTCAGCTCCTGATGCATCTAACTTCCTTCCCTCTCGCCCTGGCCCCAGGAGGACGTTGCTGTGGCTGCCGCCGTCTTGGAGTCCCTGCTCAAGCTGGCCCTGCTGGCTGGCCTGACCATCACCGTTTTTGGCTTTGCCTATTCTCAGCTGGCTCTGGATATCTACGGAGGGGCCATGCTTAGCTCAGGATCAGGTATGCACAAGAGTTTTGACAGACTTGTTCTAATTGCCAGACAGAAATAGAAGAGTCACGAATTCAAGAACTTGTGCACACACAGTGCTCTGTGTCAGTGTAGGGAAAACTGTCTGGTGGGACTGTCCCCCTCACTCAAGTTCACGTGCTCAAGGTGCAGTCAAGGGCTTTGGCACCAGGGCAATCAGTTCCCCAACCTCACTTGGAGAAGTTATGACTCCCCCCTGCCGTTGGCTTTCCTCTCAGGCCTAGAATGTGTTTTGCCAAGCGCTTCCCTGTGCTCCCTCTGGGGTGAGGGAGGAAAGCAGAGGGCAGGCTCTAATGAGTCTCCACTTGGTACTAAACACATCTGAAGGTAGTAAATGCCACATAAATCTCACGGCCAGATGCATAAAAGCCTCTGAAGGATAACCCAGAGCTATTTGCAGAGAATAAAATTGATCTCAGCAAATAAAATGGTGTGTTTAATCCAGTGTGACTCTTGGTTTTTAAAGAAGAAAAGTATTGAATGTGTCTAATTTTGAAACACCAGGACACTGAGAATCTCACAGCACTTGTTAGGCCTTGGGGACTTCACCAATTTCAAAATGTGGTGGCTGTAAGCTAGCAGTCCATTTGCAGTGTTTCATCTTGGGTTTAGTGAAGATGTTTTTAATTTCTCAGGTCACTAGACAAGAACTCTGAAGATTCTTTCTGCTACCCCGTCTCCATATAACGGGCTTTGTCAAATGCCATTTTACAGGTTCACTGGCATGTCATGGTCTCCACTATAATGGGGTCCAAACTTTTGGTATTAGGGGAAGAAGGGCCAAGTTTCTACACTAGAGCAAAGGTCATTAAGTTTGGAGAAACACCTACTGTGAAACCAATGAAGTGGTTTGCAGCTCCCTGCAGCTTGTGCTGTGAGAAGTACATTTCCATCAGGCAACTGCAGGGAGGCCTCATTAGGAAGGCATTAGTAAGTTTATGTGCAGAGATTGGGAACTCAACTATTTCACAGCAGTTCTGCCCCTATAGAAAGCAATCACCACGGAACAGCCTTTAACGTAATACAATCACAGGACGTTGCTGTGAGGAGAGGGCTGTCCCGTCATTATGATGTTCACCTGGTGGAGTAATTAATCACAGAAGAGAGAAATATGACCACCAAAATGTCTCCAAAAAGTTAATTAATTTTTAAAAAGAAGAGACAAATAAAGTACTGCAATTGCGTAGTCCATTTACTCAAATGAGGTGCTGGTGCCTGTTTTGAGAATTGATAATAGATTTATCAGTTAAAAAGGTCAGCATTCATTGGGTTCTAAGGTAATATGTTCGAGTCATTAATAATTTTAGACTCAAAAATATGCTCTCTCAGTGTCATCTTCAGAAAGAACAGAGTCTTGAGAATGGTTCTGGTTTCTTGGTCTGTGTTTTTTTTCCCGACAGGGTCTCACTCTGTTGCCCAGGCTAGAGTGCAGTGGCTCAATCATAGCTCACAGCAACCTCAAACTCCTGGGCTCAAGTGATCATGCCTCAGCCTCCCAAGTAGCTGGGACTACAGGCATGTGCCACCACACTCAGCTCACACATCGTCTTTTTTGATCATTTAAATACTTCACAAAACTTGACTTTGCCCAGAAAGTCTTCTGGGGGGATTAATCAGAAAAGAATGGCAACTCTCCATGGCTCAGCCCTATCACCTTCATTTTTTAAGTGAAACTTGCAACATTGCTGTCCCCAGTTGTCCCCAGTTGTGTATTTGTCTTTGTCTTCACCCTTGAAGTGGACTCACCGTGACCTGTACCAGCCATCTCCAAATGTTGGACTTGGACACGGCACAGACAGCCCTTTGCAGAGGGTGTGGTTCTGCTTTGCATTGTTTGGGATTAGCACGCATATAATTAGGGGCTTTATAAGTGCTCTGCAGGCTTTTCTCAAAAATCCTTCTTACACCTGGGTTATCCATCCTTAAGAAAAACATATTCACTGAATTTCCCTAAGATTTCTCACATTTATCTCTTAGGTGCTTCTCTCTTGCCCCTTTCCTTTACTTTTGAAAGGTTTTTTCTTCTCTGTCCCCTTATATTAGTTTCCTAGTGCTGCCATGACAAAGTACTGCAGACTGTATGGCTTTAAACAACAGAAATGTATTGTTCTGGAGGCTAGAAGTCCAAACTCAAGGTGTCGGCAAGGGCTGTGCTCTCCGATGGTTCTAGGGGAGGGTCCTTCCTTGCCTCTTGCAGCTTCTGGTGTTGGCCAGCAATCCTTGGTGTTCCTTGGCTTGCAGCCACATCATTCCAGTCACTTGGCTGTGTTCTCTCTGTGGGTATGTCTCTGGGTCCAGATTTCTCCTTTTTATAAGGACACAAGTCAAGTTGGATTAGGGCCCACCCTGATAACCTCATTTTAACTTGATTTGTCTCTGTAAAGATGCTGTTTCCAAATGAGGTCAGATTCTGAGTTACTGGTGGTCAGGACTTCAACATAACTTTTTGAGAAAGACACGGTTCAAGCCCATAACACCCCTCAATTCAATGCACACTTAAAGGTTCCATCCTTGAATTCCTCAAATTGACTCACAGACCTTTTACTGAGTCACTGCTTCATGCCAGAATTTGTGTTCTCTATGCCTCAAAGCAGCTCACTGTCCACCTTCAGACAAGCCCACACATGCTGTTAGCATTCAGGTGCCAAGTCTAAGAGGGGCCCCATCCCTCTCTGCTGCTGCCAGGAAGAGGAGGATGGGGAGAAGCGAGATGCACACTGGGCATAGCCTTGAGCCATGCAGAGGCAGAACCCAGTCCCTGCCTCCTCTCCCGGAGTCGCCCCTGGTTGGGGCGGGGGCCAGGCTACTTTCTGCAGCAACTTGACAAATGAAATGCAACGTGACATGATAAAATGTGGAATCCAAGAGGGCCATGGAAAATAGTTTTTTATTAGGCAACGGGGCTGCCCTGTTGTAATTTTGTGACTGCCATAAAACTGTTTAGGGTCCCCACAGCATGGGGATCTTTTATATTAAACAGCTTTCACAAACCCTGAATGAGTTCCAGATTCTGAGACTCTGGAAATTCAGTCCCCCCTCCCTTTCCTTTAGTGGCGAAGTTTTTTCTTTGTTGAGGTATAATTTACATAAAGTAAAATGCTGTTCTCTTAAGAGCACAGTTTGATGAGTTTTGACAGACAGAACATTTCCATTACCCTAGAAAGTTCTCTCAGGGCCCTTTCCGGTCAATGGCCCCCACCACCTCAGAGACAACCACTCTTCTGATTGCTATCACCATAGATTAGTATCGCTTTTAAAAAGAATTAGAGACCAATGAAATCATATAGCATGCAGGCTTTTGTATTTGGCATTTTTCCTTCAATACAGTTTTTGAGGTTCATCCATGGTTTTGCATGGATCAGTAGTTTTTTTTCTCTTTTCTTTCCTTTGTATAGATGGCCCACAATTTGTTTATCTTTTCTTCTGTTGATGGTCAGTTTGGGCTATTATGAAGAAAACAGCTATAGATATTTTTGTACAAGTGTTTTGTGAACATAGTGTTCATTTCTGATGGATGTATACCTAAGGGGTGCAATTGCTGGGTCTTACATTGGGTGTATGTTTATTTTGTTAGGTGCTTGATAACGGCTCTCTTGAAAGAGGGGGATCAATCCCATTTGTAAGGCTCCCGTTTTCTGGTTAGCAGATTGTTCCAAAGCTTATTGTTAGCTATAGCACTGTATTACTTTGTTTTAGAATAAAATACCGTTATGGGCCCTGGTTCTTACTGTGGATTTGTGAATGTTCTGTCTCAGTAGTTTCCTGCTGGTCCTGAACCCTGAGCTTTTCCTTAAAGTCTTTTCTTTAGGACCTGCTCAACCGAGATTCCTTCACATGTAGGGTCCCTAGTGTCTTTGAGTTCAAACTAGTAGGCCTCTTTGTGCTGATTGAAAAAGTGAACAGATTTGCTTGCTGGCGAGACAAGCTTTTAGTTATTCAGCAAGAGATCTGTACATTTAGTCATAATTGTCCTGTAGTTTTTAGCTGATTATTTAGTCAATGCTGTGGAATGCTGGGAGTCCTTCCAGATAATTAAGACCGTAGGCTCTAGCGTGCAGTCTGCCCACTGATGATACTAGCAGGTCTCGTGGCCCAGTTCTCGTGCTCACTGAGCCCTCAGCTGAGCTGAGGCCTCTCATTTGGGCTCTGGAGTCTTAGTGGGTTGTTTCCTTGTAGGTCCTGTTTTGCTGCGTTCCTACTGTCTCTACGTTCTCCTGCTTGCCATCAATGGAGTGACTGAGTGCTTCACATTTGCTGCCATGAGCAAAGAGGAGGTCGACAGGTAGGTATCCTAGAAGGTACACCTTTAATCATGGCCTTCAGCCAAAATGGAGTAATTTGCCAATCTTCTGCTTCCCATCCTGGGCTGGCTCACATAGAAGCTTGGTGACTTTGTTTGCTGCACAGTGGTTGAGAACTAGCATCTAGACCAGCAGGTCCCAACCCAGACTGATGAGATTCTCCTAGTCCCCCTGATCCCCTCCTAGCCCAGCTGAATGAGAATTTCAGGAGGCTTGCGCCAGGGAATCTATTTTATTACACAGCTTCAGGCAATTCTGATTCTAGGGCTGTGGAAACTGCTGTTCCAGACCAGCTTTCATAGTAGAGACTCTACCGAGCACTGAGATCCCGTATGCACTTAGGGCATGAAACCGAAACAAGGGTTCACAAAGCAAGAAGTACCCCAATTATGCACAGGACACACCAATGCCTTCTATTTCATTTTTCAAAAATACCATGTCATGACCTACTAAATTGATTTCCCAGCCTGCTAGTAGTTCACAACTCATAGTTTTAAAATAGTGGTCTAGACATGGTTTTCACATCAGATAGTTAAATGTATAGCTGTGGAAGTGCTTTGAGACTATCCTTTTATGCCCCCCATGGATGAAAAGGTCTTTTTAAGTTTAACTTTGAAAATATAGCATTTTTATTTGCAAACTGCTTCTAACATTGAATAATTTAAAAATATCATTTAAACTATGCTATGTTAGGCACTGTAGCGTAGCAGAAAGAGCCTGGACTGGGAGTATATCTCTTTGAAGGGAATCTTATTGCAGTTACTTCAGCATTAATGTTGAGGGGGTGAGTCAACACTAAACCCATTTAAAATGTTAAAAAAAGAAAGTTGCAACCAGATTATGAGGGAATATAGACAGTGGCTGGTTGCTTGCTTTCATCTACGATTGCCTTGAACCAAAGGAAACAACTTTTTAAGTTAGTTGTGATGGAATTTTGATAGTATATAAACATCTAGAAAATCATTTTCATGGTATTAGTCAACATAGAAAAAAAACAGAACTAGAGTACTTTCTAACGCCGTTCTCATCTGAGGTAACTCACTTCCTCTTAGAGCATAATGTGACTTCAAGCTCAATCTCGAGACGTGTAAAACACAGCAGCTCCAGTTCTATCTGGGCCCCCTGGCCCCAATCCGCAGTGTTGGTCTGAGCACATGGAACGCCTGGGCTTATCACAGACCCTGGCATTTTTTCCATCCCTGTGTCTTTAACCAGACATAAAACTCTAACGAGGATTTTTGTAGTAGAATAAATAGCTTAGTTAAATGTTACAATCAATTATAATGACTTTACATTGGACATTTCAGATTCTGAATTGAAAAAAAGTATTGATAAAAACATGGGCTTTTACTTAACCATCGTCAGGTTAACCAATATTTTTATAAATAAAATAGAGCATTTGGTTGGATATGAAATATTAGAACATCCTTTGAATTGCACGTTGCTCTTTTTTTAAAAACAAATCTCGTATATAGAATCTGATTGATGGATTTTTCATTATGCCCTATCGAATTTTCTATTCTCTTAAGGCTGTCTCATTTTCTTTTGCTCATTTGACACATAATTTTGAGCATCTACTCTCTAACAGGCATTGTTTTAAGCTCTAGGAATATAGCAATGAACAAGACAGATGAGATCCCTGCCCTTCTGGAGTTGACAGTGGGGGAGGCAGATAGCAAACAAGTAAATTAGTAAGAAAATGTTTCAGACAAGACCATAAGAGACAAAAAAAAAAAAATAAGGAAATGTGCTGATAAATAAAACAAAGTTAGATGGTGAGCAGTAGGTGTCCTTTAGATTGAGTAAGCTGGGCAGGCCCCTGTATCACAGTGGCATTTAAGCCGAGGCCTGGAGGACCAAGAAGATGGTCAAAGATGGGGGCAGGCTGGGCGTGGTGGCTCATACCTGTAATCCCAGCACTTTGGGAGGCCAAGGCAGGAGGATCACTTGAGGCCAGGAGTTTGAGACCCCGTCTCTACAAAAAATAAGAAAAATTAGCCAAGCATGGTGGCGCATGCCTGTAGTTCCAGCTACACTCAGGAGGCTGAGGTGGGAGGATGGCTTGAGCCCAGGAGTTCAAGGTGGCAGTGAGCTATGATGAAGCCACCGCACTCTAGCCTGGGCAACAGAGCAAGACCCTGTATTAAAAAAATTAATAAATAAATAAGGGGCAGAGACTTCCAGGCAGAGCGGTGAGTAGTGCAAAGGCCCAAGTTGACAGCTCCTTTGTCTGATTTGTGGGCCCTTGAATGCCATCACTGCCTCCACAATTGTCAGTGAAGGATGAGTATGATCTTCTCACTTTGGCACTTAAGAGATCAGTGCCATCTTTTTCATGGCTGCAAAGGCAATATTGTATGGCCATACCTTGATGTATTCAACTAGCACCCACTGGGGGATGCTTCGGTTGGTGCTACAGTTGGTATCCTTGACCATCCATCTTTTAATAAGTCTGATTTTAAGTCCCAAGTC